CGGATTTCCTTTAAGTGTTTGATGAAACTCCTAAATATATGTTTCCTAAAGTGGTTTCACGAGAAAAGCTTTGAGGTATTTAAACTCTTATTAATCATCTGAGGTTAAAGGATGAAAAATTAATTGGCCCCTCACTATACAATTGAGTCCGTCTACCTTCAAACCGATGGATCGAGCGATGGCTGTGATAACCGATCAGGACGATCTCTTGCTTAGTGAACATTCCACTTCCAGCGACAAGGTCCAAGAGGAGAGCTCCAATCTACGTTGACGACGAGGTTTTTGGCTTCATAGAGTGTCTGTATGTCTCTACTTGGACTGCGTATTCCATGCACTTCACCGCTACTTTTAAACCATTGGAGAGAACTGACATCTTCCCCGTCATATGCCTCGTTGGATGATTGACACATTAGCACACCGGCAAAGCATGGCTCCACCCATTGTCGCTGCTCAAAACAGACCAGTTCTCTATGTTTCCATCAAATTCATTTCTGTTTTAGAAAGCTCTACAATCAGTTTGAAGAAAGAAAGTCATTATTCGTCGCGATTACAGGAAACCAAACCCAAACGTTTTCCAAGATGAACATGTTACCTTAACGGTCCACTTCCTATCTACCAGCCAGGCTTGACGACTCCAGATCAAGATGGATGGATGGGTGGACTACATCTGTGAAGATAATTCATACCGCGAGCCTGTGTGAAGAATTCTGTAATATGCTGTATGAGATGTACGGTGACTGAGTCAAACAGAGCGGAAAAGAAGGATCCCAACACAAATACAAAGAAGTAATCCAATAGAGCATCTCATACTTGGCAAATTGTCAATGATCATTGGCACAGAAATCATCACATGTCTAATGAACAAACGTGTAACCCAATACTCACAATGTCCAAGGCAATCTGGATACGCCGTCTCCAATCCACCTCTGGCGTACTTCTCTGCAGTAGATGGAAGAGACTTCCACTGCAAATTGTTGTTCAAATGATTAGGGGCATGGATAAGAGCTGTGGCTTGAAGGCCCAAAAACACAATGAAAGTGAGTGTAGTAACTAAAAGAGATGAGACCGAACCGTGGAAGGAACTCTGAAACTATATAGAGACGCAAGAGGCGAAGTCACAGCCCCCATAAATGCAAATGAAATTTCAAACTGTCTTTTGCCAAAACTACACGCAGAACAATCATTACGGAGAAGGGATTACAAACAATACCTCTTGTCTAAAAGATTGCATGACCTCCTCTGAGCATTCTTGTTTGGAGAACAATTTTACAGCTAGATCCTGCGGTGACACGAGCAGCTCCCAATAAGGCAGCAGATCATTGAACATTAAAATGTTTTGTTTTGTTTTTGTTAATCATGGAAGGGTGAATAAATCATCAAATGCATATTCTACAATATCACGAGAAGGGAAAAACGTACAGATCCAAACCAGAGACCGTGATAGACAGTTCCGCGTGAACCTGTAAAATGAAGAATTACTGCATGTTGGCAGAACGGAGACAGGATATCACATTAAACTAGTAAAATGTATGATGTTATGACGAACAGATTTGTCTGGCAAACGAGATAATATGTTTAATAGAACAAATTACCTTGTCCAATGTGTTGTCCGATTGTCAAATCGTCCCATAAAAGATCATATTCCAAGCAGTACGCATTTATAGAGGAAGACCACATACTAGAATCCTCGTTATTGCTTTCAGGCGTAACACCATAGGCCTACTTTTTGATCCTTTCTGTTCATTCCCTTTCCATGACCATGACATACTTTTCTTTACCATCCATTCTTCAGCTTTTGAGGTGAAAACCTTCTGAATTGCATACTTTCCATCACTTGAGTCTTTGAAGGGCCTTTCACCGTTACATGTGAATACAACAAATGGAGCGTGGATAATATCCCCTCTTGGTGTGGTGGCACCACTTGATGCTGCATCGTCCCTGTGGTCAGAGAGAGTAGCACCGAAGACACCATGATGACTGTCCCCACTGCCACCCTCAGAGAGTGTGACACTAGTATCACCTGCTCGCATTTTCGACCTGACCTTGTTGCTCAACTTGGATGCATGTAAGTTTAACACTAGTCAAATATGCAACAAGAAGATAAAACAATATACAACCTACAAACCAGACATGATACCTTTGATGCGATAGCAAATTGTATCGGATGAGGCAAAACTAGTCCTTGCAGGGATAGAGCTCGTTTCATCTTCTTGCGCCGGGAAGTGGTTCTCGGGTTCATATACCCTGCTGTTTGACTTGTGATAGAAATGATCCCAACCAGAGAACCGTCATCATCATAGAAAGGGGGAACACGTAGTGACAGATGAAAGTCTCTCCCCTTATCTGCTCTTGACAAGAAACTGGCCAGCCCACCAAGACACTCGTTGAGCAACATTCATCGCAAAGGCAGCATCTCGATCATCTTCCATAACATCAATTGGTTTCTGCAGCAGTGTAACCATAAAGCTTTCCCGACATAACAATCATGTATCGTATTTATAAGAATCTGAAAACATATACAAATGAAGAACGCAGAACAGGATCATAGCATTTCCAAAATTATAAGAAGCCATAAATTGAATTCACAAAGTTCAATGATTATTTGCATATGTAGATCAAAGGGTATGAACAGATTCCGCCACGGACTGCAAAATGTTCAAATACTGTTTATTCGTGAACTTCCCAGCCGATCGTCTACCTCCAGCTACTCCATCGAATTCTGGATACGAGGCAGCGCCGATGTTTCTCATCGCCGGTGAAGCCGAGTGCCATTGTTGCCTAAGCTCCGTGCATACCTTAAGCCTAGACATCTCCTGCTTTAGATGCTCATGGCTTTCCTCTAGCTCTATTAACTTCTTCACCAGAAATTCGAGATAAAATCTGAAGCAAAGCGAGTTGAAGAGGCTGCTTAATCCATGGTGGTCGAAATACTTCTCGAAGGAAGAATCGGAACCGAAATAGGGATTGATTCGTCGACTATGGAGGGTAGATTTTGCGTGTGTTCTTCTCGAGAGAGAGAGATTGGCCGGTTCTAATTGAATTGGTATAGTCGACAATTCTGATTGTTGGTTTACGCATACGAAACCAAAAAATACAATCACCTGACCAAAACCATACTGTTGGTCCCAGAGATTTCCCATCCATCTTTGAATCTCCTTTTACCAGAATGGATTATTTGGGGTAATCTTGGACACTTCTTCTTTCCTTCCACTTAGAATGCTTGTGTTTGCCGAGGGATATCCTCATTATTCATGGTATCCAGGAGAAAGAAAGCTCATGTTATGTCAACGAGAATCCATTCGATCATCCGAGTAGCTAGCATATGGAAAATTCTTTCCATAAATGTGTAGGTTAGGGACTCTAATAATCTTTATAATATTAAGTACATTTAGCAAAATGCCTAAAATTCATTTTAATATTACTGAAATTGTCATTGATACTTAACTAAAGAAATTCAATTAAAAAGGGTAATTTTGTACATATGCAGTGGCAATTTCAGTAATTTTGAGATGAATTTCAGACATTTTTTGGACAGGATCCGAGGGCAAAATTCTTTCCATAAATGTGTAGGTTAGGGACTCTAATAAT